ATCATCTTGTTTAATGAACGCGCTATGCACACGTATTAAACACGATTGCTTAGAACGTCAATTAATCAATTCTGAATCACGATTAAAACATCGTGATTGTAAGTCGCTCTTTGTCGCCATTTTCCTTGTTTCGGCTAACGAACGGGCGATATTTATATAATTATTTGTAAATCTAGAGAACTTGGAAATTATTTGATATTCAGTGCAAAAACTTTCGTGTTAAATACGACAGAGACAAGGATATTATTGAAAACTGGGTTTTCATTTTCTGGACTTCCACGATCCTCTCTCATTTCTCAATTTTGACAAAATCCCTGGTGTTGTTAAATTTAAAAAATCTTACTTATTTCATGCGTTCGTTACTGTTGAACATTTTGCCGATAAAAGGATGTTGAAGTGATCAAAACAGTATAGTACAGCGATTGGTATCGAGTATAGATCCAGATTAAAATTTTTATTTTAAGCCAAGGTTTAGGTTTGCTTGTGTACAGAATAAAATGATTCGCCAATAGGTTTTTCTTCCTGTTAAAGCTAATGGTCAAGTTATTATAGACGTCTGCTGTTACAGTGTGATTTTCATCTTAGCGTTCAGAGTTCACACGACTCTTCCACTTGATATTCTTTCACCCTGATTTCTCGATAATTCGTTGATAAAACATTCCAATTCATTTCACTCGCCGACCTAATACATGGATCGTCACTTTCTATAGAGTCGCTGGGCACTAGATTGGAGAGACGGCCTTGCGAAAGACAAATCGCAGGTAGCCGCGATATTGTATACGTACAACCGGATATAATATACAGGGTGTTTCGTAACTTGTGGGAGCTGATTGTACGTCTAAAACTAATGAAAAAAAGTCATATAAATATATGTCCTGTCTGTCTTCGTTTATGAGATACAATGAATTTTATAAACAGAGCAAACTCTAGTAAGCTAGTTTTACCAGGGATGGTAAATATTCAACTTTCATAATAATCATAATTGGGACGAAGAAAGCCCACACGTTATTGTGCATTCAAGACATCAACGCCAGTTTAGTTTAAACGTATGGGCAGGAATGATTGATAAATTTTTAATTGGACCTTTTTCTCTCGATGGGAAACTAACAGGCACAAAGTACGTTGATTTCTTGAGCACGCGTTTACACGAAATATTAGAGGAAGTTCCAAGTCGATATTAGACTTCGTATGCGGTTTGTGCATGATGGAGCTACGCCGCATTTTAGCCGAGTGGCCAGGCAATTTTTAAATCAACACTTTGCTAATAAATGGATTGGTCGTTGAGGTCCTATTTGCATGGCCTGCTCGTTCTCCGGATTTGAATCCATTAGATTTTCATTTGTGGGGACATTTAAAATCTATTGTATAGGCAACATCGATTGAACATGCTGAAATACTACGAAATAGAATAGAGCAAGGCTTCCGACAAATTCGAGAAACACCAGGAATGATAGAGAGTGTAACCAGATGAATGACAAGACGCGTGGCAGGATTGTCTTCAAATGCAACGTGGTCATTTCGAGCATCTTTTTGTAAAAGTAATTAAAACAGAGAATTCATTATATCTCATAAACGAAGACAGATAGGACGTATATTTACATGACTTTTTTTCATTATTTTCGGGTACCACAAGTTACGAAACACACTGTATATATACGTATGATACGTTCGTAGGCATCGTGGGCAGCCTTGCCGCGACGTCCATGTCGGAAAACACCTGTATTTCAACGGCCTAGAGCAGCAGATAATCGTTTACGTTTCTTCCGCGAAACGTTGCGAAACGATTGTCCACCGGTAACCTGCAATCGGCATCCAGATGCATGGTCGAACGTCACCGACGACGTTGTCATCAGACGACAAAACTCGACCATTTGTTACCGAGACTAGCCAACGACTAAGTTAGTTTCAACGAAACGTCGACTTCGAAAAATATTTCTGTTCCACGTGGAATTTTCGGATTTTCACCGGGGGGGGGGATTGTTCAATGCTAGCGAAGTTGCTCACTAGATTGAAATTGGGGTTGAATTGTTAACGAAACTAAAAAACTCGTGTAAGAGAGACTCTGAGAATCTGTATTTTTCTAACAAGTATAACGAGGTACATTCAACTTCAAACAATTGTGACTACACTGGAAAATTTATTATTTCGTTGTTAAAAAGTTTTACTTTCTTAAATGGAGACGAGTAATTTCAGTGTCAAAAAGGAGACATTTAATGGAGACAGATTTGAGGTACATTCAACTTTAAACAATTGTGACTACACTGGAAAATTTATTATTTCATTGTCAAAAAAGTTTCACCTTCTTAAATGGAGACGAGTAATTTCGACGGCTATCGAGAATTTGATTGAAGTTGTTTCAAAACGTGTATTTATTATTTTTGATAAAATCTCGCGAATCCTTGAGCGATCGAATATGAAGCGGTCTCCAAGATCTTGAGAGAAAATATTCTTTGCTCTTAGCAATCTTTATCGAGACGTCCGACAGTTTTTCATTTTCTTTCGCTGACGAATTTACGGACGATAACTCCGTAGGGTGCATTTTTATCAACGGCGGAGCCGTGGTTGTGTTGGTGTTCGACACCACCCGTGGCGAGAGGCGGATTCTAAAAAACGCGAGACGGCCGCGGCCAAAGGAAGGAAGGAAAAAGCGGTCGTTGCCAAAAAAGACGCGCCTGTATCAGATACACAATCGATGCTACGGGAAAAATAAGGTACACGGATGAGCTCATTATCGATTCGGCATCGGAATTGCTCAATTTGCCCTTTCTGGGGCCCACATATACCTTTGCTCGACATAAATGCCTCGAGATAATATCGTGTAAAGATGTTGTCTTATTTGTAATTTCTGTCCCGACATACAAAGTCCCGCGCTTCTTTTCCCCGATGAGAAATGCTCGTTTGTATCTACAATACGGTACAAAAGTTGGCAATCGATTCTAATGTATTTGTGGCTTTTGAAAGAAAATGAAATTAAAAGTAATCCTAATAATTTTGGAACTTTTTTCTAGATGTGCTTGTTTTCGAAATATATTCACATATTTGTTCTTTACTTTTACAACACAACTTTACTTTACATAACAATCCTTTTTTTTTTTTTTTGTTTGATGGATTAAGAATGACTTTATGGATTATTGAATTCATTTTATATAAAATTATTCTTGAAATTATTTTATATATAAATTATTTCTTGAAATTATTTTATATATAAATTATTTCTTGAAATTATTTTATATATAATAAAAAGACAATCGTAATGCTTCGTTTGAAAAATATGAAATTTACAGAGATATCTTGAATAAATATAAACTAGTAAGTGCAATCTAATCTGCAGCAACATTTTATGGAAATTCAAATTCTTCTTTTCTATCGAGAAATCTAAATTTTCGCTTGATAACTGATTCCAAATTTTTGGAAACTGGTAGTTTTAACACATACCATGTGTCTGTACTATATTTGTGATAAAAGAAATAGTGTAGTATAATAATAAAAATAATATAATTCACTCACCTTGATCATCTGTGACAAATTGTATTCATTAAATTAAAAGAGAATAAATTTCAAAATATCTACATTCTACCAATTGAAACTCAACAATTACTTTATTATAATGATAATATAATTAAATGATAAAGTGGTATATGTCTGTGGTTGAGAGTATCAAAGTTGGTAAAATAAATTCCTGAATTTTGCACCGAGTTATCGATTGGTAAAAAAATGAAACTCGACGCTGCGCGGATGGTAATGAAATATACTATTGATAATATCTTGATCGATAATGTAGAAATTACACAATTGGTTAACCTTTATGGTAACTAAAAAAAAAACAGATTTCTTTTTACGATCAAAAAAACTGGATCGATGAAACTCTAAAGAATTTAATATTCTACAGCATTCGTGGAATATAAATCGATTTGACATGTTCGAAACAAACATTTAACTTCTTCAATCCTTACTTCTCTTTCCTCAATGTTCTTTATAAATTACGAAATTATGACGAATTATATCGAACGCTAATTGCAAATTATGAAATACATCACAAGTTATGTCGCGTGTATCAATCGTACATTAAATAACAAAATCAAATGTTACCAAATTTCTACGAGGTTCCAACCAGTCGACCGTTATTATTCCTAGCGCCATGTTTCAAATTTTCACACGAGCCATGGACCACGACATTCTTATATTCACCAAATAATCTGCACAAAAGAGAATCTAAGAGTTAAAATTATATCGGAATAAAACGATAATCGAGATTCAATTTTGTTTCGAAAACTGAGAATATCTATCATTGATGCCCACTAAGCTATGTACTGGTAATGCTAAATTTTATCCATGTGTTTAAAGAATGTTCAATAAATGATGCCACTAGACATATATATATTGATTAAAGAAAGCTATTAATAATGTATAAATGATAAAAGATTATTATCGAAGATTACCTGTTAAGATTACTTTTCACTGGATCAGCACACTACTGCTTCCACAAACTTCATCAGGATACTGACTTTGCGCGGCAAATTTCCAATATGGTGTACGAGTCTCTAATTTTTCTGCCCAATCACAGATCGCGCGGCAAAACTCAAATTTTATAAATTTTTATTTAAATTGTAACTTTGAGATATAATGTTATATAAAATAAATAATTTCATATAATTATAAGATGGATATTAATAAAGAGAGTACAATCCACTTCTCATAATTAAGGTTGCATTTAAATTCGGAAATATGTATTATTATGAAATTATATATATTATGTATATATAGTACAATTAAGTAATGCAAATATATAATATAATTTTCTTGTCTATGAAATAATGTTAAAGTGAAAAGTTTATTTTTAATAGATCGCAAATATTATTATTTTGACTCACTTTACTTACTCATAAATTAATTTATTTCCTGTTTCCTTTAAATTAATTTATTTATTTTCTGTTTTTTACAAGGAAAGTACAAGGATTAATGAAGGTCCAAGCAATTAATAAGGTAAACCTATCAAAATTGACAAAGATTTTCCTTTATTAAAAAAAAAAGAAAAAGAATTATATTGCTAAACATTTCTTTACATGTACGATATATATACAAATTTTTGGCACGTTCTTCTTTTTGCATTTCAACCGGAAATGTGCTAAGTTATCCTCGCGTGGTAAGCAGAATGATGAAAATTCACAGGAATTTATTTTGGAGGGAAAATTTTATTCATTGGCACGCGACTAAACACTTCGTTGCTGAGTTTGGTGAAAACTTGACTGAAAGTTTCCTCATAGGGGCCTTGGAGCTCTTTGAACAGCAAGTCGGCGTTTTCATTCATGAAAGTGTTCAGCTGTGTTCCTGTGGAAAGAATAATTTAAGTGTTTAAGTGTTTAACCATTAATTCTTGATAAAATTAATCTAATTCATTAACTGACAAGTTCTAAGGTCTAAGATCATATTTAATAAAACCTAACCTAGCACGAAATACATAGAAAAGAATATTATAGGAACTGCGACAAAATAAAATAAACGCATTTATTCTTGATTTCTATGATTACATTAACAAGAAATCGACGATGCTTTAAGACGTTGAAAATGCTAGAGATCATAAACGATATATTTTTTTTCTTTCGTTTAAAATGATGCGATGAGAAATAATTCTATCTTTGTGAACGGCATAATAAGTATAATGTTTGTACGATTCTAAGTAAGTAACGATTCTAAGAACAGTACACGTGTTAATGTAAAAAATTTAATTAAAATTGTAAATGATTAGAGCATAAAAACTTTTTGCAAGGAAATCGTATTCATTATTAACAATAACCTTCATTTTTATATTCGCTATAATTATTCTAGTTTTTAAAGGTTGATCAACATGCATTAGGTAAGTGGTAATTGTATAGTAATTTTTGATAAATACCTATAACCTTGTCACCATTGAACAGGTTGTCGAAATTCAACTTGACTTTGTCAGGACGGAATGTCACCGAATATTTCTTGATTTTCAAATAAGTCTCTCCGTTCTTCTTGTATTTCTCGCAGGCCAATTCGTTATGCGATTTCAAGCCGTCTAAATATTCGAACAACAATAATTGTCGGATGTAGACACAGATCTCAGTAATTATAAGAAAAAGCATATTAAATTTAAAATTAATGTAAGGTATAAGTGAATAATATAAACAAATATATTTACACATGGTGATGTTCGATTTTCCAGATCCTCTGACAGGCAACAGTAACACTTTTCCATCGAGCTTGTAATCAGCGACAAAGTCCACTTGAGGATTGAAGGAGTCCGATGTTAATAGGCATCCGTTATCCAGCTCTAAGCTAAAAATAAAAGAACGAGTATTAGATTCATTATGATTTATGTAACATCAATATATTATCTACTTAGCTTTGCTAAGGAGATTCAATATGATTTGTGTAACATCAACATATTATCTACTTAGCTTTGCTAAGGAGAGATATTTATTCATACATATTTTGTACATTCTCTAGTAGTACAGTCTGCTAAATTTTTTTTTTACGTATTTCCAATTTTTGATCATTTTTATAGTTGTTATGTTTCCATGTAAACGACATTTGTGATAAATTCTTTTGTTAGTTCAATTTAACAATTCGAATATCTTAAACGGTATCCAACATTCAATTTCAATCCGGCATTTATCTTTCTTTTTCTTTATTGCATGGAACATTATAAATGTTTTGTTTGTATTCGCCTAATTCTTTCCAAACATTTATCAACATAAGTTTTATTTACGTTTTGTGAACGTCACGAGAAAATTCGACTTTATATGTTGTATCTAAAGTATCCTTGAATCTTTGGAAATTAATCAATTATCTAATTATAGAGAAACAAAGTAAGTGTTCGTCAACTTACTGGTGATTGTGGATCTCAAGGTCTTTCGTAAGACCATATAACTTGATGTTCTTATATTCCTGCTTCAGGCTAACCGATCCTTGCGATCCTCCGATCTTCACGTTGTCCACCAACAGTGGTTCGACCGGGAAGATCTTGAAACTTTTTAAGCCTACACAGAAATTTACACTTTTTAATTTCACCCTCGAAACTAATTAATCCAAACAAAATTTTATTCTGTAGATCCTTGGGAATTTATCCCTACGAAAATGAAGAAAAGAAATTATTTCTTTCTTATTTTGTTCATAGAATCAGACTCTTTCAGTCACACGATTTACCTGGGTAACCAGTGGAACTATTATAAGAAATGATTATATAAAAGTTATTTGCAGTTGCAAGTAATAAATCAGCAAGTAATAAAAAAATCACTCGACGCGTTAAGAAGTATGGATGCAATTATAAAATCACAGTATATTACCTCAATAAAAATCAGAAACGATTGATAGATTACGGATTTACTTTACGAGAAAATATAAGTCGTATAAGAGTGTCTGTTTTATCTTACAAAGCAATTATTTCACACCTGCAGTTGTCTGTCTTTTCTCAAGTTATTCTTTATTAAAATTACAAAACTTTTGTTCGAAGAAACTGTTGCTACAACATTTTAACAAAGATTTTTAACAGGAACAATGGAGGTGAAAATATTGAAAGTTTCAGTCATCGACTGTTCGAGTATTCGAATAATTTGAAGGACCTTGTTGAAATTATTATACGCTGTAAAAATTGTGCTCGAAACTATCAAGAGTCCAATGACTTATGAATCGGAGCGTACGTATACAGATACACGCGTGTGAATTTTGATCGGGGACCCAGAAAGCGAAGGGACGGTCAACTCGAGTCAAGGAGAACGTCTGTAAATTGCCACATAATATTGTTGGAGAAACTAATGCCAGTTTCGAGGAAACGCAGTGTGCATTGCTCCGGTGAAATCAATGGGGAATCATGCGATTATCGACAGATCGAAAATTGTGACAGAAGTAAAAAGTAGGAATGGATCAAAGTTTGTTTCCGTCGATTCTCAGTTTGAAATCCCAAGTTTTCTGAGATTTCTTGGAACAAAGAGAGATCTTTTGATTTTGAAAATTGACGAGATGACTCCTAAACACCTCTTCCTTTTCATTTTTAAAAATGGCGATACGCGCTTCTTCAATCAAATTTTTTTCTTTTTTAAAGTAACACATATTTTTATAGATTTCTTTTGAAAAATTAAAAGTAACATATATTTTTATAGATTTCTTTTGAAAAATTAAAAGTAACATATATTTTTATAGATTTCTTTTGAAAAATTTGTATAAATGGGATTGTTTGAAAAAAATTCGTATAAACGGAATTATTATCATTTTTACAAATAAAATAAAAGATAAGGAATATAAGAAAAAAATAACCTTTGAGTTTGAAGTAGGAAGTGGAAGAATTTATAACTATGAATAATATTCGTTTATTGACACATTTTCGTTTCTGTGAAGAGTCGGTTCTGTGAAAAACTACGTTTCCAAAGCTGAGTATTAAAGTATGAAAATACAAGAACGGAGAAGCAAGTTCGAAAATAGAGAATACGAAAGGAACAGGAGGAACACAAGTGGAAAATGCAATACAGATACTAGCCTCTCAACGAAAAGTGGAGACCACGATCGGTTAAGTGAAATGGTTATATAATCATGCAAATAATAAATACGTGTTCAACATGAACTTTATGTGGTAATTCCTGTGGTAAGGATGATAATTCAAATTTCTTGTCGAACGTACGGAAAGTTCGTCATTCATCACCTTGCAATCTTTTGTATCTTCGCCGAAAGAAATGTTTAATAGCGTAATTTCTTTTTTATTTTTGACAATGCGTTTCATTAAAACAAATGGATCTTCACGGTAGGAACTGAAAAATTCTCACCTCCAGCCAAGGAAACCACAGCATCTCTAGCAGCCTTGTCTAAGCACTTGCTAAACTCCTCTTCCGGCAGTGACCTGCTGCATACCTCCCAATTCTTTGCTGGAAAAAGATGACGAAAAGCATAGGAATGAATATGTAATATATACAAGGATTAAGAATGAGAAAAAGTTAAAAAAAAAAAAAATACGTTGCATGCAATAGTTATGTAAACGGTCATTGCGTTGCAGTGGATCCAATAAAGTGCAACAGCCGTTACGAAGCCAAACTGAAGTTCGGAATTGACTTTCTCTTTCAGACCATGTCTCCGTGGACTGTAATAGTTTTTTAATTGGATCGACCCGTGGAAATCTGGATTGTTTCGTTGCCAATGCAATGTAATGTAACAACTCCGTTGTTTGTGCAAATTCTTCTTCGATCGACGTTGATCTTAATACCATCTCAATGAGTAACGCGGCGGTGGTGGAGAAAAGAAAATTTAAAATGGATGCCCCATATTTGGTAGTCCACTGACATCACTATTTAAACTTTTTTCTATCTGACTATACATGACTTACATTTAATTTTTAATAACGGTTAGATGGTAATTAATTTTTTTTTTATGTTTTAATAATAGTTATTAAATTCTTGTTAAGGGTAGATCATATGAAATATGTTTAAGCAGAGAAGGTTAGTCAAACAGTTTGATGATTTGTTTGTAAAGAAAATTATTTTACGGTGTTTTATAATTTTCAAACGTTTCCAATATTTCTGAAAAATGCCAAAGCCACTTACGCAGTTCTACAGCAATGACCGTCGTCAACGATATCACTGCCAAAAAGAACTTAATCGCTGACATGTTCCACATGTTTGATCGACTCGAGGAACAATTTTACAACTGGAATAGCCTTTTCTTCGGATTGAAAATTTCTTGGGACAGCTGAATGTGAACTGAAAGAAACGGTCATTGATGCAGTCTATTTAAGCAGCAGGTTCGCCCCACTACTTGTCTGGTCAAGTACGCGTACCTCTTATATCAGATTATGGAAAAAATATCATTGGAATAATATGCCAGAACATACAATTCATCGGTGACACATGAGATTTAAAGATATAGTGGTGATCTATTGCTACCGAAGGAAATTTTTCATTAAAATCGCTGTTCATTATAACATTTTTCCATTTTTCTTCTTATTTCTCGTTACTTCTCATATTTATCACTGAGGAATTTCAGTGTGAATTTCTTCAGTTGTTCTTTTTATTAATTTTTCTATTGGTCTACTTCTGATATTTATCAATGAAGAATTTCAATATGAATTTCTCAATTGTTGTTCTTTTAATTTTTCTATTCTTGGTCTGCATTTTGATTGTTAGTGTATAGTTGCTACTTCATCCGCTCGTTAAAAGTAAAAATATTGTTTGCATGGAATTTCTTTAAAATTTGTTATAAAAGACTTCCACTGATCAAATTTTAAATTTGTTAAATACATATTTATCGAATATAAAACATCCTCGCATTATGTTTTCATTGGAGACGAAACAAGTATATCTGGTTTTACCACAGCGTAAGATGTTATTTTACATCTCTCCAGAGTTTTCTTTTTTCTTCTTTTGTCATATTTTAAATTGTATATATTCATCACAAAGTCAACGCCATTTCATAAAACGAAGCTTTTATTGTACAAAGTTATAGTTTTTTTGTTTTTCTAGAGTAGTGCAAGTAAAAAATGATAATATACTCGATGGATGCTAAAATTTTTCGTTTACTGTCTCGAATGAAGTATTGGAGGGAAAAGTCTCGCTGACGGACTGAGATGGAATTGTTCGAAGTGAACAGCGGCCATTTAGTAGAACAAAGGGAACAACAAGGAGTTCTGAAAGAGGTTCGCCTCGCCATTAAAAGTCCTGTATGCCAGCCTTCGCTTGGGGAAGAAAGCAGAGTCGAAAATGTGTCTGTTGAATATTATAAAATATTCAGATATTCGGAAATCTGTTTTTCAATTATTTATTCAAGTCGTTATAAATCAGTCGCTGTAGATTTAAAAAGAAAAAAGTTCGGAATCCAGTTGAACAAAAGCTGTTTTTTCACTAGCGACACAATATTAAGGAATACACGTGAAGATGGATAATGACGTATGTTGGGAAGATAATATCGCGGAGAGGGTTTCGATTCAAAGTTCAAAAGATGGGTATTAATAGAATTTTAATACTTTTCTTTCTCAAAAAAATTCTAATCTTTTTATCAAAGTTCATGTTGCCAATTCGTCACTTAGACAGTAGAATTACTTTTAGAAAACATGAGGTGTTATTTATTTAGTGATTATCCTTCTAGCGATTCATTCTTAACAGGAATTTGCTACCGATCACATCTTCAATCTCTGACACAGACCGATATAGATAGATACATACCATATCATTGTAATTAATGATGATCATTATGATGATCATTAGCATTATAGCTGAAATATACTTGTAAACAATATGTCCTTAATACAATGTAAATGATTGATTACATGTGCACGTGGATTTCTTAAAGATGACTAAGACTACGCGTTCAAGGTCATCGAGGACTCGCTTGAGATTTAGAGGTTCACTGATCGTGAAACCGGCACAATTATCGCTTCTGGATACATTTTCTTATTCGTTGAATACGAAATGTGAGGGACACTTATTGTCAGTTATTTATACGATATTTACTTTTGTTTTAATTGCTCATTGTTATTGGTGACTGATAAAAACAATTGGTTTACAAGAAAACTAATATTTTTTGACATTTTGAAGACGGAGAAATATTTAGAGTTTTGTCGACTGGTTTCTTAATTCGGAAACAAAGTATTAAAAATCCTAATAACGATGTTATTAATAGTTAATTATAGATGTTCTTGTGACGAATGCAATACTCATTGTATTTTGACTTTTCTTTTTTCCAATCGTTAATAATTAAAAAATTTTTTCACAGATGTTTCCACTGTAACAGTTTGCATATTTTTATTACATAAATACATATTTTTTATGTTTTTTCTGAAATTGTGCTTAAATATTTGCAAATTAATTTAATTGGTTTATTGCATATTAATGAACGGCTAATTTTTAATGCAAAATACCTCGATTCAAAAAAAGTAAAATGGAGAATGATAAAATACGTTTGCAAATGATAAAATATTTGCATTAGTAATTAGACATAACATTAGCCACTAATATTGATTTAGGATATTATTTAAACGATGGAATCAGCAAAGAAAAACTGCGCATAAGTATAATAATTATAAATTCGAAGGAAAAATAAAATGACAATAAATATAATAGTTGAGACAAATGAAGAATAAAAAGGAAGTAAGGGATAACAGAATGATAATTTTAGTTTCTTCTAGATTTCTTTTTAATAATAATTTTTAATATGGCTGGTAATAAAAGACATATAAACTAAAAATAATACAAATTATAAATCGATCATCACGATATATGTTAAAATAATATAATATAGTTTTTTATTGCATCAATTATCACTTATTTGCAAGCTATTATTAATCCTTATAAGGTATACTGAATTGAGTATGAGATCACGTGTGTGTTGGCATCAAGACATTACAAAAAGAGGAAGGTCAACTAAAAACGAGAGTAACGTCAGAAAATTGGTTTAACTAGAAAGATATTTACAATTTAAGAATATAAATGACTCAGATCCAATTATTAAAAAATTACGATCTTCATTACCTGTGTAACATTCAAGAAAAAGTGAACACGCAATGACAAAATTCTGAGAAAAGATGAATGATATTTGATTTAGTAACAGGTGTGTGTATCTATTTATCACTTGTGCAATGTAAAAAAAATGGAAAAATGTTCTGAGAAAAGAAGAATATGTAAAACTTATTATTTCTTATGTTTTAGTATCTCTACCTAGTAAGATCTTCATGGTCATCATCAAAGACCAGTTTATTTTATTTCGTTCATTGCCTTCTTTCTCCACCATTAAGTCATCGCTCTTTGGCCTCGAATCTTCACTTAAGGACATTGAGATTTAAATTTTGTGAGATCATATGTTTCTCGACTACATCTTTTCATTAGCTCGTATATCTTGGTAAATGAAAACTATTGTGAAAACGACTTATAACTATTTGTAGGAGACTTGTTATCACAATTATCGTTTATTACCACTTACGTTTATTACTTACAATTTATACAATTTTAGCCTTATTTATAATTGTCTAATTATTATATCTTATCAATCTGATTTTTCTTTTGCTTTTATAGAAATAATAAAGTGTTTGCGAAAGATTTGTAAGAAATGAAAAAGGCATTTAAATCATTTTCTGGCAGAAAATAGCTGTAATAATATCCACAAGGGCGACAAGTCTCAAGTGTACTTCTCGTTTCGTATTTCGCTGCCGTTTAACCAGACAAAACGATTGTTGAAGCGTTCACGACACAATGACTCACGAAGAAGTAAATACGAATGTTTTATTCTTAATTTATGCAACAACGCTCTGTTGCTTTTTACAATGGCACCTCCTAAAAAAAAAAAAAATGAATAAAGGTAAGTTTCTTTCATTTTCTCTACTCATTCTTTCATCGTAAAATCTTCACTTAACTTCTAAATTAAACATTTTTAATATATTAAAAATTCGAACTTTAAAACTTTAAACAATTCAAATCTTATTGTTTAAAAATTTGTATTGTTGAAAAAATTCAAAGTAATTTCTAGTAGTTTAAATAATGAACCCAAATACGATAATGAAGTTCGATATGTGATAACACATTCCATCTTCGTTCGTCATTTTCCAAACTTTCAACTGTCATTTAGGAACTAAATTTTCACGATAAAAATAGATTACTTGTATTACAAGCGCATTTGAACGACAGCAATAATGGGCTTAGCTTCGCAAACACAGTTTTTCCTCGATTCTTGGGATAAGCACGCGATTATTTCTCAACTTCTTTCGTTGGGAAACTCGGGAGTTTCATGTGTAAGAAGCATTTTTCCTTGACAGTGTTAATCTCTCAGTGAAATCGATATTTAATGAATCTACTAATGTCCGACAGGTTCAATGTTATTCAAATGAATTTTTAATTTATATTCAATGAATAATTAAAAACATATATTGAGGTTTTGTAATCATTTGCAAGTGCATGTTATTCAATTAGTATGTAGCAATTAAAGAAGAAAATTACTCGTTTTTTTATCAATGAAAATCAGGACAGAAAGGTGTAAGAAACCTTAATTTGTTGTTCATCCGAGTTACCTTGCAAACAGTTAGAATCTTCACAAATTGAACCGTTTATCGCAATTTTGCAATCCATATATTATTAGAGCAGATCACCTTTCAAATTGGACCTTGTGATCTTTAATCTTAAATCTTGCTCTTTTAGTTTTCTACAAGTTTCAGGGTAATAACGAACTATGTTTATTACTGTGTTTCTATGACTAATTCATGAAATTAAAAGTTCGTCCAACTCTCGTCAATTTGTAGGAAGACATATGACGGCGTGATGATGAAGGATGTGAAAGGTGTACTTATGCATCGTTCAAGTCCATCAGTCATGGCCATCACACGTTCATAATTTACAAAATAATTTTACATTATTTTTTTCTTAGTTATTTTTCTCTTATTTTATGGAACGAAAAAAAAAAGATTAAAATATATAAAATGCAAATTATGCATAAAATGTACAAAGAAAGATTTCTAGTAGATAAATGTCTTAGTTTACTAATAAATAATCCATATTTTGTGTACATTTTTAAATAAATAAAATTTTATTGATCCAACTAGAAGCATGAAGCTTTAATACAATAGTATTACAAATAAATATTATTATGATTGTTTTATGTGCTATAAAAAAATTCTGGAATAAAAATCTCATGATAAATGTTATATAATTCTATAATGTTTGTTCGTTGTAGAATTTACAAAACGATATTAAAAAATGTCGCGGTTATGCATCTTTTATTTAGAAATTCTTTCTTATTGAAACTAGTATTTCATTTGTAATAATAGTAAAAAATATAAATAGCTAAAATCAAGTTGTTTCTTTTTAGACACAGCTTCATTTATTGCAATAAAAGATAACTTTTAATTAAGGCAATAGTTTTTGATACTTAAGGGCTAAACTGTTCAAGGGAGGTCTTATTTTCGTGATACCAAGATCTATGGCATGGCCAGTTAGAGGGCAGGTCTGACATCGTTTCTTTTTATTACTTATGTTAAAATTGCCTTTCTCTTGACGAACGATATATCTAGGGAAATAATGAATTCGTTTTCGTTGCATGGTGGCACAAGGTGGCATTGTTACAACTAAGTCTTTCTTATGAATCCTTCCTACGGGTTCAGGAAACAGTCTGTCATTTAGCACATATTGTTCCAGAGAACTAGAAGATTTAGATGATATTAAAGTATGGCTGGATCCATGGGTATCGAAGTAATTTTGTGCACGAAATTTTTCCAATTCTCTCATTTCTTTATCAGAAAGGTATTTCCTGTCAGTTTCGTCTGGTAGTTTGTTTGTGCAGATTGTGTTTTGATATCTATCTGACTCAATATCCTTTTCTAAAACAGGTTTAGAATGTTCTATCTTGTTTCTCTCATAACATTGACACTCCTTGCCAGGTACTGTTTTTTTATCCTTAGTTGCTACTTTTGAACTAGATTTAGACTTTTTTAGATCAGGTACGACAGCCTTAGACGAAAGAGTTTTTTTTATCACAACTTTTGGCTTTGAATGTTTTCTCAAAGATACTTGAACTCCTTTGCTACATTTTTCTATATCCTCAACTTCAGAGCCTGAACATTCATCACTGATTTCTGACTTTGAAGGTATAGATTTTGTTAAGTGAAAACTAGCTTCTGATTTCTTATCATCAGCTTTCAACTGATGCGAAGAATCAGAATTATATGCGGTCCTTTTAGCCATGAGTTCATGATAACAAGGTGATCTGTAACAGGTCTCTGGACAATCTCCTGCCGCTCCTTGCAAGAGAGAAACTCTGCTTCTGACATTGCGCAAAAATTGAGATCTAGGTGCATAATCTATCTTTTGAACTCTCCTCAATGTTTCACAACTAATGGGTGACGATAACGCGGACTTTTCACAATTATCCTCTACCACTATAGCAGGAGTGAAAGTATGACTCTTGCATCTTTTGCTAGGAGAATGTGGCTTACGCTGTGTTCTTGTGGACCTCAGCTGTGCTTTTTTAATTTCTGGATTACAGTAACATTCTTTTACTGGCTTTCTACGAATGTTTTCCAAACAGACCTGATTTTCACAATGTTTCTTTGAAGATATTAATATTTTCTTTGCTGTTGATGTATTAGGCATTGATGCTGATGTCTGATGGCAATCACAGACACAATCCAATCTCAAGGCTTCACCAACTCCGCTGGAATCATTTCTCAATTTCCATGATTTGGTGTCTCTTTTACAAGAATGAGACGCATCTGTCTTGCCAATATGATTTTTAGAGTCATCTTTGAATGATCTGTATTAAAGAATCACAAAAAGTTGTGATTTTTGGACTATTGTTACGTGAAATATGTACGTTGCGTGAAATATTTACAAATTTCTGGAGGATAATTTCTTAATTTCGTCTTTAACCTTTTTAGAATTCTTATTTACTTGCGCCAATAAATGTCTACTCCGTTTACGCAAATTCTCTATACGTTCGTTAAAGTTTTCACCCATATGATTACGATGAATATGTATCTGTGAATTAAACAAAAATTTTTAATCGATATCAGAAAATTCGTTTTCATAAAGAATTTATATTGTGCAGTATTATTTTTAAGATTTATTTTTTTTTTTTTTCTTTTATGTGCGATAAAATATTTTCTCTAACATCCTCGGGGGTGAACTAACAAACAATAACAAATCAAGAAAATCGAATATTATTGTAATCAAATTTTTGAATCACCTACGTTCAACTTCTCCTCAGGAATTACACTTCCTTAACTCCTTTACATCTTTAACTTCTCCAAATCATAAATAACGCGTTTCGACTTCAAAATATCGTGGCAAAAAATGTTTATTTTTATTTCATCAATTGAAGTTTACCGAGCGTCCGCTGTAAACAGAAAGACGCGATCAGGCCTGCCACGGTAATAAAAACCTATTTTTTTCTCTATAAATTCTTTTCAAATTGAATAAAAATCATCCAGCATTTCATACAGACTCTCTGAAAGACGTGAATTTTCTTCAATTATGCGAATATAAATGCGCTCTAAATACGCTTTTAGGGGTTAGTTCTTGCTGTTCGAGGGACACAACGAGATTTTGGAAATAGTACTTTAGTGCAGCCATGTTGGAGCGACTCGTAGGACGCGGCGTACGTTACAATGTCCTGTCGCTCAAGTACTTTTTAATTTAATTAATCACTTTCTGTTTTCTGCCGATATTTGCCTAAGTATCCGCATGACGTGCGAAATATGAAACTGAAGACGTAGTCACGACCGAATCGTTGATTCCTCGCTCGCGGTGAGACATCCATATTATAGGTTAGAAACGCTCGCATGATTTAATCGAAAACGCGCGTATCTTTAGCGTCCATTCGCGGCAAAATGGATTTCTCCGGGAGCAACGCGATCCACGGTGCGCTTCCACAATTTTCAGAATTGACCTCTCGATCCAGCACGGTTCCTACGTCGAAATTCACCAGCAGCGACAATAATCAAACGGAACAAACCATTGTTTATACAACCGCCGCTGGTTCGAATCAGACAAAACAAAGTTTATTGGTAAGTTCTGCCTTACGTTCATATTATAATTTTCCTGCTTAAATTTTCTAATTTGTTTCTTTTCTCTTTCCCAAGGTGAATTCAACGAACAAGTACACAGGTCCGATATTAGCATGGCCAGATCCTAACACTTTGATGCAGTTTTGTGAGAAGCAAGGCATTCAGACAATTAACGTTCCCAATTACAATCAGAACAATCCGATACTTGGTGTTCAATCAAACAGTCTACCAGTAAGGATTATACCTAATATGTATTTGCCGTCAACCTTGCAGCCAGAGATTATGAAACAAGACTTGGATTCTAGAACTGAAAATGAAAAGCAAACGTCTGTAATGGTACAGAAATCTTCTAATTAGCTAATGGTACATCTATTGAGAGATGTGTATTTTCACATAGTAAAAAAAATTAATATTTCAGCAAGATTCTCAACTTCAGCAACAAAGTGCCATGACAGAATATTTTCAAAAGTTGCAAGCTACCACTCTTCCATTGACGCTTCAACAATTGATCAAACTGCAAACGGAGCAGGTGAAGAAAGAGAAGACTGAGGAGGAGAAAGCGGAGCACACACAGAACAATATCCTCAACATTCCTAGTGTTTCAGTATTCAGAAATACTCAAGTACAGAATGGAAACAACAGTTTCATCAATTCAGATCAAATGATGGTGTCTATAAATCCAAACGATCTGAATATTCAAGTAGAGAATCAGCAAGAAAATGAGAACACGGTACAGACTGTTAAGGTAGAGCAGCAGATACAAACTGACTCGCCAAAAATCGAAAAAAAGATGAAATTCAGGGCGAAAACCGGGGAGATAAAAATTAGCGTCGGGCTGGACGGTTCGACGCTATACTGTTGTCCTGAGTGCAACTTGGCGTTTCCGGATAAAACAGAAATTGAACAACATATACAAGCTCACATACAGGTACACGTTAAATTATTTCATTGTTTTTAATCGTTGAAATAAATATATTAAACCAACACAAACTTTATTTTACAGGAACGTAAGTACCAATGCAAAGAATGTGGTGCTATGTTGAAACGAAAGGAGCATCTCGATCAACACATGCGTGGACATTCGGACGAGAGACCGTTCAAGTGTCCAGTGTGTCACAAAGCGTTTAAAAGGAACGAACACTTGACGAGGCATTACGTTATTCATTCTGGAGATAAGAATTTTTTGTGTTCGGTATGTCAAAAAGCGTTCTCTAGGAAGGATCACCTGAACAAGCACACTCAAACGCATCTAGGAATTAGAAGGAACAGGACGAAGAAAGATTCGTTTTTCATCGAGCAAAAGGATCCTTTCGAAAAAGCTCCTGAAGTTTCCACGATGCCTAAACAGGAAGTGAGCTTCGTCTTGAAAGACGGAGGCTTCATGAAACAAGAGCCTAATTTCCTGCAGTATATACAGAACCTTCAAAAAGATCAGAATCTGATCCACACTTTCTCTTCGTTTAAAGAGCAAGTGATGAAGGAGGCAAACGTGCTGCAACAACAGGCAGTAAACATGAACGAGATTCTGCCTCAGAATACAAGGTACTTAATGCCGTCTTAGTCGTAAATAAGCTCGTTTGAATTCAAAGCAATAAAGGCTGTTCATGTGGGAGCGTCGGGGTTTAGCACAAAATAGAAAATTGATTAGGCGCATTCTTAGGAATTGGAACGCATTCTAATATTTAAATTGTGGAATTTTTGGAAAAAAGAGCGGCACTAGGAGACTAAGGTGCAATTAGTAAATGAATAGTCATCGGTGATAAATATTCATGAATATCGGTGGTGATTAATCATCAAACTAACTAGAGTCTCAATGAACTTGGAACATAGTCTTCTTTTGTGAGAAGTATTTTATACTCATACTTTTAGCGAATACATTATGAAGTTCCATAGTCAAGTTCTATTATTTGCATGAAATAGTGACACTTAATGATAGTCCGCCACAAAGCCTGAATGAGTCTAATAATAAAAGCCTAGATAAACTAAAAAGAAGCATACCAACACGCAAATTGAAACGAAACGAGCAACCTGCGTAAAAACACTCTGTTTTATTTAAACTGGTTTTAGAAGTAGTAATTTCTTTATTGATTCTAGTCTACGATCATAGAAAGCATGCAACTATAGGTCGCCGAACTTGAATTTTTTATTGTCACTAATTCTTTTTTTTTTTTTTCAATGAATTCGAGTTTCGTTTGTGACCTGAAATGAAGTATGGTTAAAGTAACTCGCAATTGCCAATTTACTGTTAGGTTAACTTTGAAACGAGTACCAATAGCAAATAATAGCATACTGCCAATAATTGTGGTTACAAAAATTTGTAGAATAATTGTGTATATAAGTGTTATACAAATTTGACCTGATGGAGACTCAATGGGTACATTGTTTGATCTCTGATTCGTCCGTGTCCATCTTTAACAAGTATCTATGTATAGTATAACTCATTTTATAACAATTATAATTACAATTCATTTTTATTTTTTTTTTTTCTCGATTTTCTCGAATTGAACAAACAGATATTATCTGTGTGTATGATTTTTTTACCGATTCTTAGTGAAAAATATTTGTACTATATGATTACTTTTATTTCCTTTATTTCCTTCTTTTTTTATAAATTAATTTTTAAGGCAAAAGCAATAGGAATTTTTAATTGAAAATATATATATAAGTATATTTATAAAAAAATTTTTTTCGTATTTTGTGTACAATTATGTACTTTTTTTTTTTTTTTTCGTGGAAATTTGAGAAGTGATATTAAGAGAAAGAAAGATTACTTTGCTCAATATTTGCAAGATGACTCAAAAGTCTTTTGTTTTCTTGTACCAAAGATTATTCACTTGAATAGCGCTTTCACACGAAAAATTTTCTTACGATTTTTCTTACGTTTTTCCATTTTAGATTCGCAAAAGTTCCCATTACTTTTGATTCACTCGCCGCTCATTTTCACTGAAGCTAACGCCATTATCCACATTTTCATTTCATACAAAACAACTTTCGTAATTTTATCGCACGATAGGCTTTCTCATGTTTATTTAACCATCTCTTAAGTAAGTAATAAAAAGAATGGTAGAAGAAAATTGCTCAAAACCAATTTCCGGGTGGACGTGATAAATTGTCAAAAAATTAAAACGAACATTACGAAAACCTATCTTTTATTTGAGCTTTATCTTTGACAAGGAAAGAGTGACTTTTATAATGAAACAATTTTTTCGATCTATTTTCTTTTTTTCTATACTGTGAACGATATCTCAAATGCTAGTTTTTTGACAATTTATTGAATTATCTACGGTGGAACGTTTCTTCTAAATATTTCCACTCGTTGTAGATTTCGGAACTTGTGATTACAATTGAACTACTAGGTATACAGGAGATTAGAGTGAACAGCTGCGGATGGCACTAAAGATAAGACTCATACCGCATTGTAATAGAACCAAAGACTTTGAATATTCGTGAGAATAACAGTATTTTGTCTCTTCCTTCTAAATATTTTTCAATCTCCTGTTTTGCTTAGCCCTAGGACGATAAACAGACAAATGTTTCCTCCCTAAATTCTAATGGATTTTTATTAGAAGTAATATAATTCGTGGAATGAATAATAATGAATTATTCACTAGAGAAATCGATCAACAGAATTGCATCATTGTCCTGGGTTAAGAAAATAGAATTAATCTTTCCACTAAAGTTAATTAAGTAGTACATAAGGTTTCGATGTTCATGTTGGTGGCCATTTTCCGTGGACGTCGTACGTAAGACGATACAATAATGAAGTATTTTAACAATGAACACGCATTCGCGACAAGGTGTTACTCTAAGAGCGATTGTTATGTATAATAATACGATAATTGCCAAAAAAAGAGAAAAAAGAAAAAAATAAAGATGAAAAGAAATGAAAAAAGAAAGAAGATGAATGAAGAAGAGGTAACACATGTATTTTTCAGACCAAGATATTTTTGAATAAAATAAGTGTAAAGAAAATATTCACTTGTATCACCTGCAGCAGAATTTCGTTTGTCTGGAGTGAAATTTTAATTCAGACACTTAATTTTGATTTCATTTCTTCTTTGATTTCTGATTTGAATTCTATCAAGTGGATCTACTTGTTTTGAAAAAGATTGCATCATTATATTTCTTTCTCAAATTCAATTCAGATAAATAAAATTCTACTGCATCTGTTCCAGCTCCTAGGATAAATATCTCCTAATACTTTATTCATCCATAAAAGAAAAATCCATGAAGCAGTACAAAATATCTTCCTTACAATTAATAATTTTATTGTTATAAATAGCTCTAACCAATCTCTAGAGTAGAGACCGTAAGTAATTTAAAGGAATCATGATTGTGAATGATCGGTATTGATTATTTTTACGTAATTTTTATTTGCATTATCTTCACATTCACAATAATTGCCTTTTTTCTTGCATGTCCAATAGTATATTTCTGTATTTATCAAATATAAAGCCATCAATATAAATTTCCTTCTTTCACAGTGGAGGTCAGCAATTTGAGTGGAAACAGTTTCAAAACATAATACCATCGTGTTTAAATAATTTAATATAAACGTAATGAGCACAGACTATGAGAGTCTAATACAGATACAGATGATACAAAAGACTGATACAGATGCTTCAGGTGATTGAATCATAACATAATTTGAATAATTCGTCGATCAGAAAAATATGTATATGAAAGTATATATGCCTGTGATGAATAGAATGTCAATGACTATAAGGATTGTCGACAAAACATTCGTTGAGGAAGTTAATCATGTCATGACCGACCCAGCTCAAAATCAGGTGTTCCTTTGGTTCGAAAGTGAGGCAACAACTGAAAAACCTATTGATTTCAAAGACCATTTAATATGAGTATGCGATGCTGTGTGTCTCGGTGCATGCAATTCAGATTTGAGCAACTTTTTCTCCTCCGTTACTTCACGACCCCAATCAATGATCTGCCAGTTCCCCTACTAGGCCAGTCTGTGTGTAATGTGTGAGTGTGAGTGACTAGGGCTACATTGAAACTTGATGTATACAGATAGCTGTTACGCATGCCAAGCGTAGAATCGAGCTGATATGGTGGGAATGGCTCATTAGGAGGGGAATAGAGACCGTGTGGCTTGCGGGCCACCAGTTGCCCAAGCCTGGTCTAATTCAATCACAGTGATTGGGTTTATTGTTTTCTGTCCGTGCTTTTGTCTTTTGGACAAACTATTGACATAGTATTATCTGCCGGAAAATGGCTATACGTGACACGTAACGCCGCATTGTGGACTCGGTCAGCTCGTATTGTTCCAAGATCGTGTCGCAAGCCAAGGCGGATTGGAAAAATTCTCTTTGCCATTTCAATAATACATGTTGAATTTGTGAATCCTGAAATTCTATATATAATTGTCGAAATCGTGGTGAAATTGATTAGACGATTTTAACGTGTAAAAATAAGTCGAAAATTAAAGGATGACAATTTTCTTGTCACAGACTCGTAGACTATTCAGGATTAATTGGTACAATGGTAAGCAGATGTGGATTTAAATTTAATGTTGATGCTTTGGCTTGGTTATATTACAAAGTGGATCATGAAGCACGATTCCATGGTATTTAGACATATTAAATAAATTAGACAAATAAAAGGTAGAGGATATACCTATTTTCATAAATATTTCACTTTATTCGGTGAATTTATACGTCTTGATCCATCAGAAAGATTCCAAATTAATACACCGTAATTATTAAACTGCAGATTTTTATTACAATTGAGTATTTTGATAAAATAAATCAATTCAAAGATCCGTGAGAATATTATAAAATAGAAAATAAAATCGAGTATCATAATTTTTAGTAATCCAATATAAATTATTCAACGACTGATTTTATCGGTAGATGAATAGTAAAACATAAACGAACGAATGAATACTTTAAAGCTACATGATGTTACAAAGAACAAGTCGAAGTTACTGAATCGTAATTATATTTAATATTCTTCTAATCATTGATCTATAGTTTGTAATCGTAATCTACTTTTTACTGTTCAATATCATTATGACTACTATAATACTAAATTGCTGTTAGTCACGATCAAAGACATAATCATTTTGTCATTATTGAGCTAATCGTGTCTACTAATTACATTTTCTTTGATCACTTCATTTATAATCATATGTGAATCATGATTAACGTACAGGATTAATCGATAATTTGTAATTATTAATCATGTCACATCATGTTAATCACAATGAAAGAATATTTTTGGAAAATACCATAAGTGCAAAAGGAAGAGAAAAGTTGCTATCTATTTATTTACTGTAGGCGTTAATCCAGTTTGTTCCTAGATCACTCGTACACAGAGAAACAGAAATATGTTTCTTTGATGTATTATTTTATTTTCAAGAATGTTACATATGTATGTAATACAACGTAATGACTGAAAATTTGATGTTTGGCACTTACAGTTCCTTCCACGAGGACTCTTCAATTGTTGATCATCAGCGAGATTACCTTTTGCTCATCTCTGCTTCTCGATAAACGCCTCGAAAGTCCTCAGTTTTGTTAATCACACCTGTCAAGAGTATTATCACTACGGTGAATAACGCAGAGGTAACAAAGGTCTGAGATCTTTGTTCAATACGCTGGAAGGGTTGTCAAGGTCTCGGATAGCCTGCGAGGTCCTCATTCTCGCATCGTCTCTCGTCAACTCGTTTTGTTCCAACATCTTCGACAGAATCTTCTTCAGCTGTGGCCCGATGCCACCCTCCGCGGACGTTTCCAGCGTGTTGAGAACCTCGTCCGAGTATCCTGTGTACTTTCCGAATCCCTGTTTCCTCGCGTCCTTGCTCAACGAGTCGTACAAGTTCGCCAGTTGCTGAAGGGTCGCGCTCGGTCGCACCTTCGACCGTCTTAGATAGCTGTTCAGACTCGGCCTTGGCACTTGCGTCACCTTCTCGCCTAAACGCGTGAATCTGTGGAGAAAATTAAAGAAACTAAAAAGTCGAAGCTATTATCAGTCTTGTAATTTAATGATTGAGAAATCTGTTCCGGAGATGGTAGTCTATCAATTTTTCAATCGCGTTTGCATTGAAAGTTCTTAATCTTAATATCTTTTATCTCTTGTGCTACCAAAACCTAACCCAAACCACCGTACCTCGTTTCCCAGAAAAGGAAGCAAACTGTCCAACAGATACTTCACCTATTTTCATCCTCCTCCTCTTCCATACTCTCCAATCTTTCTTCGGGAACAGCCACGGCGCTTTTCGATTCCTCGAGAGGCTCCGCGTCCATGAATTTCGATGGTGTAGGCTTCAAAATTTCGTACACGTCTTGGACCACGCTATCGATGGTCGGTTCTTTCTTCTTGTCGCTGTTCGCCACGATCGATCCAAGGTTCACGGAGTCAGCAGGACGAAGCGAGGAGATCCGCTCGTGATCCTCTTCAGGGACTTCGTGATTCGTTTCTTGCACAGCGTGCACATCCTCCGGTACCTCGTAGTTCGTCTCCGGCGTGGCGTAGTTCGTTTCTGGCGTTTCCTCGTTCACCTCTGGCGACTCTTGCCTCGTCCAGGTATCCACCATCGATTCCTGGCCGATTTTATCTGGCTTTGACGTCTCCACCGCTATCAGCGTCTCTGTTTCGTCGCTAGATGCACTCTCCGTCTTGGGACCCTCTGTTTTGCCCCTCGTAAACGCTTTCGTTTTCTCTGTTCCCTGAATTTTCGATTCTGACGTCCCGATTTTAGAGACTTCTTGATCCTCCGCCTCGTCTTTCTGTATTTCTTGCACGTGAGATTCCTCCATTTTCGAGACTTCTTGGTCCTTTGCTTCTTCTACTTGCCTATCTTCCTCGATCTCGGTTTCATTCTTGGAAGCTTCCTGGACCATCGGCTCCTCGGTTTTGTCGTTCGACTCGTTCTCTTCGCCTTCTGATTCGTCTGACGATGATTGAATCGCACTGGCGGTCGAAGACTCTTGAGAGGCAGTCGAGCTCCAGGTGTTCGTTGTCGAGGTGGAACTCCGCGCGTCCTCTTCCGATTGCAGAAGTTTCAGCTGCTCGACCGCGTGGAATATCACCTAACGTGTTAGAAAGAGTTTAATGGAAAATTCCATTGATTTGGCAAACCGTGGAAGTACACACGTACGCGTGTGTTTTAATATATATATATTTTATTGATTAAGTAATGCTATTTGGTGTAATGAACGATGGTGGCTCACCTGCATGGCTGCCGGAAGATAGGAATCCGCGTAAACTGGCTTCGAGAAGGCTGGTGGATTCCTAAGGATTCCGCCGACAGCCTAAAACGATCGAAAATTATAATTTAAAGTATCTGATCAAGAAACTGATAATTTATTTGCATGCTTGACTTCGGATGTCTTTTATCTTGTCGTTGTATTTTTGCAAATTTTTATACTTACCGTTTTTGCCTTTATATTTTCCGATTTAATTGTGACACGGAATAGTACAGCGGCAAGAGTTTAACGAAAGATATAAAATTCTTTTTAGTTAGTTTTACTACTTGCTGACTACAATATTTTTGCACGCCCAAATTTTCTGCGAATCCATCAATATCCATGCGATTTAATTATGAGAGAAGGGCAGTGCATTTACTATTTTTATATTTTACATTTTTACATTGTATTATAATTCAAAATTTTCTATAAATCCATAAATATCGCTTAATCACCGTGACACTTTTAATTCTAAGAAACAATTACATTATTTTTCTACTATTCAACTTCACTACTTTTATATTTTATATGTTTAATATTTTTATATTTTCTATTATATCTCTGCACCTTCGAATTTTCTATAAATCCATAAATATCCACGCTTTTGATTTAATAATTGCAAAGAGACAATAAAAATAGTACAAGTGGCAAGTGCAAATAGAAGAGGACAGTGGAAAATAATCTGAAACCTGCAAATACTCTACGCTAAATGGTTGCAGAAATTTGGAGAAATTCGTGGAAAACGTGTTCGAAGCGATATCTGGGATGGAACGAACGACCCCGCAGTTGCTTGGTGTTACTTTGAAGAATAATTAAGAGAGGAGGAATGGCGAGGAAATTTCCACGGCCACGTTTCTCGGGGAAACGACGAAATGACACCAGGTGCGGCTGAAACTCCGTTAAAACTTCTCCGACATTTAATTGGAACTCGACCTTTTATCTGCCGGTGAGTAAATAACTTTCTTTCTTACTTACCCTAGTCGCTGAACTGCCTTAAAAAGCAATAGCTTTTTTTTTGGCGGGGGAGGGATCGTTCGATTAGCACGGAAAGTGAAGTAAACGAGAATTTAACGAGAACGTCAATGTTCCACGTTAGCTCCGCCACTTTGCCAACTTTTTGCGAGTCGATTGAAACGAACTTTGATCGAAGAATAAAATTCTAAAAGAAGTATAAAATTCTAAAAGCTTTCATCATCTTTTTTTTTTTTTATTATTACCCTCTGAGATACTGATTTTAACAAACAGTGAAATAATCGATTTCGTTTGACTAATCTTCCGTGAATTTATAATAAAATAATAAAAAAAGAATAAAATTTTTAGAGTTCACGTTGTAAAATATTAACAATAAATGAATTATTTAACCACTTAACACTCTACAGATAGATAAATTGAAACTTCAACGATTCAGTCGACATTTATTTATTGGAAAAGTTTAACGAACTATTCCCCATTTAGTATTTTACATTGTAAAACTTGTGTCTTGTTAGTGAATTTATAATAAAAAAAAAAAAAAAAAAAAAAAAATAAAAAAAAAA